CCTAATATGGTGGTTTTCCCACGATGCACCGCGCCCGAGGTAAACAATTGACGTCACCTGGCGGAGACCGATTGCTGCACAAATTAAATACAAAACTATGATCAGACTTTATTGTCATTGACAATATTTCACAGTCATTTTAATAAGTATATTTAGAAAAAAAACCAAAAAAGGGCTGCCAACTTTTCACCAAACCTTCACTGCAAAAAATAAAATAAATGTGGATAAGTAATTTTTTTCTTAAAATAAGTGCATTTTGTCTTGAATTGAGGAGGTAAGTGAAACACTTTGCCAATGGAACAAGACAATTTACATTTATAATAATGAAATAATCTTATTTTGATAGTGAAATGTTCATTCCATTGGCAAATCATCTTATTTACTCACAGAAATTAAGGGTAAATACACTTAATTTAGGATTTTTTTTTTTCAGTGTTGGAGTGAGATTTTTAAATAGTTTGGACAGGCAACCCTTGTCAGGGTCAAATTGAAAGGCTTTTGATCGGTGCAGCTATAGGTTGGAAGTTTTCAGAGGATTTAACTGAAACAGTGTCAAAATTTTTGACACAACAGTCAATGTGACTGAGTAACAATAACTAATCTCTAGTTATGTGGAACATTTTTCTCACAATATACATTATTTTCTGTATTCTGGTTGTTTTCAGAGAATTGAAGTAAAGCAGAATGGGACCTACTAAAATACTTGCATCTTAAATATACTGTAAACTAAGAATTTCACAATTTTGTATAATAATTATTCTGTACAGTTCAAGTAAATAAAAAAAATGGGAAATAAGTTATGACTGGATAATTGGCACCAATACAGGAACCAGTGCAATCGAATCCAGTACAAAATAGACTGTGTATGAATATTTGGTAATAAACTAATGATTGAAAGGCTTCACTCATTATGTTATTAGTTGTTGTGTGTTTTTTTTACAATTGACAAAACAGTTGTTTAATTCAGACCTTCCAGAAGGCTGTAGATTCTATAAAAACACACACAAGACAGCCTTTTCCTGAATGTTTAATTTGGGAAAGTGTGATGTAAATTAAGTTTTTAAACATATGTAATGAACCAAAATAAGGATAAATGAATAAGATCAGTAATAATAAAATGAGAACATCCCTCTGGTTCCTCATCTATGGATGACTGAGTTGTTCTGCACATCCTCGTGTCTTACCTGGTAGGTGTTTTCTTGGGTGGCTGATTTTTTTGAAAAATTAAATGTTATGGTTCTTTTTTTTTTTTTTGTGGACCTCTTATGGGTTTGTGAGGCAAACCTGAAAGCTTTAAGAATTTAGATATTTGTGTTGGTTTAATTAGTCCTAAAATCGAACTAAGTCTGGAGGGTAAACTAGAGCAAACTAGGAGTAAAGCTTACTAAAAAGAAACACTAGATGTAGAGAAAACAAATCATTTGATATCAATTTGATCTCATCCTACTCTTGATAATTCTCCACTTCGATCATTGAAAGCTTATAGTTAGAGTGGCTCAGGTTATCCTGAGCTATCACTATAGTTATGCTGCTATAGGCTTAGACTGCTGGAGGACATAGGGACCCCTATTTCATCATTCTGCTTCGTTCTATCTCTATTCTCCTACTCTGCAGAATCTGTTAGTTCAATCTCTAACATTCTGCTCTCTCTGCTTTTTCTCATAGTAGCTTCATCCTGGAGAGAAACATCAGCATGTGTAGATGTAGCATCTGCTGCATCAACACCTTTGTTTATAGATGTTCGAGCTCGCTGTTTTCCAGTGTAGTCCTGTCTCTCTGACCATGACTAAC